AACCCACCGCTACGCACTACTACGCTTCACAATAACGCACTGATGATGTCACCTCGATTGGTGATGAAACGTTTGCAATCAAATTGCCCAGCTCAGCGAACAAGCCAACGACCACCATCTACGATACCTGAGCTACCAACATTTTCCTCTATAGAAAATCCGTACTCTACGTCAAATTGGCTCGCGGAGACGTTATACTCCCTCAACATTGATGTGAGCTTTGTCTCCGAAACACGTACGAGGCCCAAACGCAGTTATGCATCTAAGAACGCCAAGGTTGAACTAAGGTTTTCACATTTCTCCCTCCGTGTGTCCGGTGGCCCAGAAGCGATAACTTCTGGAATATACGGCGTGGAATTTGCACTCAGCCCTAGAGCTGAACGCTCTTTGCTGAATTGGATACCAGTGAACAGTCGGTTATCCGGTTGTTACGAATAGAAGATCGATTCTGATTGAGCGCGAGAACAAGAATGAATAGCGCTTTACTTGTCTAAGAATAGACGTACATAAGCTGAAAATGAAGGCGAAAGCATGGTTAATACAAAACGATAATGTGAGCACAAAGAATATTCATGACATTCACCCTGGCCGTTGGATTGTGTGTAGAGGGTTAAATTGGGCACAGGCATTGGATGAATGATTGTAAAAATCTAATGAGTAATAATGAGTGTGGTTAGGCTTCGCGATTTCTTAAAATGTAGGGCCGTGTACGCTGCTGGAGCCTGGCTAAATCAGAGATGCTAGGGTCATATGTATCTGGAGATGCAGGTGCACTGCCCGGGCACGGGGGTGAGACTGAAGTATGATCGATATTATCTCCAATGTTATTGAGCGGAGGCGTGTGCAAGTCAGATAGAGGGGGTGCATGAACACCATTGTCTTCATTGGCTGAGGTACGTGTGAAATCGTTGACATGTGTGCGATCACCACAAGCAGCGAGATGACGGACGAAAACAGTGCTTTCTCTTCCGCCGGGAAAACGAACATGGGCGTAATGGGTGCATGAAATTGTCTTCATTGGATGAGGTACGCGTAAAATCGTTGGCATATGTGCGATCACCACAAGGATCGAGATGGCGGACGGATAGATAGCTTTCTTTCCCGTTGGGAAAACGAATATGGGCGTAATGTGGATTGCAATTTATAGGTTAGACTTCCTCAACGACGGGCTCATAATTTGAGGCACGGTCAAATCTCTTCAGTAAAACAGGTCCTGGAACAGTGAGCCAAGTT